TCACAGCCTGGCTCACCCAAACCCTGGTTCTGTTTGGTCTGGTTCAGGAACAGGCCTGGGACGGGGACCCAGCAGCTGGGTCAATAGGTAGAAGCCCACAGCGGGGCTTGCTGGGTCCCCCCTGCTCCTGGCTGGAGGGCTGGTCCTCACACTGCTCTGCCCCGACCCTCCCACCTGACCTGGCCCCCCAAACCAGCGGACCTGGGGACAAGCCTAGCATCTTGACTGCGACGTGTGTCTGAGCCCCCAGTTGCTCCTCTGTCAGTGGGGCCAACCGCAGAGCCCTCCTGTAAAGGACTGGGCTAGGTGCCCTTGAGAGGCTACTTCAGGGGCCCCAAGCCTCCTGATGCACAGTAGGGGCACCCCAGGGATTACCAGGACAGCTGCCATCCTTCAGGACCCCTGTCTCTGTGCCCCGTCTCTGTGCCCATTCTTCAGATAGTGAAACTGAGGCTCTGAGAGACCACACAGGCTGGTGTGGACAGAAGCCCTCTCCAGGCCTGAGAAAAGCATAATTAGGTGGGCGCAGTGGCACAAGCCCCAGCAGCTCGGGAGGCTGAGGTAGGAGGATCATGAGTTCAAAGCCAGCCTCAGCAACTAGTGAGGAGACCTGTCTCTAAATAAAACAAAAAGGGCTGGGGATGTGGCTCAGTGGTTAAGCACCCCTGGATTTAATCCCTGGTACCAAAAAAAAAAAAATCGTGCGTATCTTCCTTACACACAGTAGGTCCACACTATAGGTAGCACTTAGCACCCTGCTGTTTTTTACTGGAGTGTGTCCGGGGCATCTTCTCAGCCCACTGACTGAATGAAGTTCAGCCTGGTTCTTTTTAACCATTGGGTGTTGACCCATGACCCAGACAAACCAGAACGGTTCACACGGTGGTTGTGTGACCACTCATCGGGCCCTTCACACGCCAGAACGCTCCAGATGACCTGGAGCTAGGAGGCATGATCATCATCATTTGAGGGAAGAGGCTCTGACAGAGGCATCTGCCCAAGGTCCCCCRGCAACAAGCTGAGGGCTGCGTCTCAAATCCCGGCCCGTGCTGCCCCCTCTGCGTTTGTTGATGTGCAGTTGACAAATGCTCTTTCCCTCCATAGGAAGACATCAGAGCGGGRTGTCATTGAGTTGCTTGAATTTCAAATAGTGGACGCACTCCCGTCCCTCCCTTCCCTGGGTCTTGCCTGGCAAAACTCCTTCTCTTTAAGGCCCTCTCCACACGCCTTCTTTCCAACAGGGTTTACCTTCCCATTCACAGATGTGACAGCGAGGCTCTGAGACATGTGATAACTCCAAGGGCCCAGGCTGGGACGCSGCAGAATCCGAACTTGAACCCAGGGCCCGCGCTCAGCCTCTTCGTCCGCCTCGGTTGTGGGGCAGGTTAAACCCTGTCTGGGCCCACTCCTCCCTGGAATCCTTCCCCTGCCCTTCCAGTTGGTGCCCAGGCTCCAGACAGACCCAGCCCCACCATCCTTGTGGATCTGATCTCCAGAGCCCCAGCCAGTGAACTGGGCCCATCTGGTTCAGATCATCTGCCCCAGGACCCGTGCTGGTGGGCGGCATGGCGAATTGGGTGATAGGATCCAGCTGCGGGTGGCCTCTGCCCAGCCCGGCCACTTGGAGCCACAGGACCAATGGGGGACCAGTGAGGGCACTCTGGGAGCTCTAGTCAATTGAGGTGACCCCAAATTACCCTCAGTCCCCAGAAAGCCTAAAGAAGCCCCGGGGCGAGAAGTCTGGGAACCTGGCCTGGTGGCTGGGGACCTGGGACCCGTCTTCTGAGTCCTCTGGGAGGCTTGGGAGAGATGCCCGGGAAGGTCCCAGCTCAGGAATGAGCTTGCGATCCACCCCAGGAGCAGAAGCTCAGGCCTGGGGGTCCGCGTTTGTACCCAGGGTCCAGGAGCCTCTTCTGAACGGGAAAGTCAGGGACCAGCCTAGGAAGCTCTGCTGGCCCTGTCCCCTGGTGGCCCCAGCCAGCCACCCCTAGGATTCCTGGGCAGTTGAGTTAGCAGGAGAGGATCCAAAGAGGCAGCCCGTGGAGAAGAGGGAGTGGGCGAAGGATTCCACATTTGCATTGGCATCACAGCGGGCAGAACCCACCAGAGGGTGAATGTGGCGGGTGACAAAAAGAGCAGTCAAAGTGGAGGTCCGGGTCGGGGGCTTCAGAACCAGGTGGGCCGTCTACTGAGATGGGAAAGATGTGGGAGAATGGGGTGCAGGGTCGGGGGAGCTGGCGGGGACGTCCAGGGGAGAAGTCCAGGGGAGACGGTGACAGTCCCGTCAGCGTGGGGGATAGGGAAGTCCCAGGAGAAGTCGGGCGCCTGGCCGGGGCCCCGATGCTGTTGGAGCCTTGGGTCCTTTGGCCTGGGGTCCTTCGGTCCCGGGTGATGATTATGGGTCATCCTCAGAAACACATAAAATAAATGCATAAGGACATCTAGTCATTTTGAAATTATAAAACAAAATATTAAAATCTAATCTTTAATAAAATCATAGCACGATGGGCTTCCTCATGTCCAAAATCACGATGGGAAGGAGCATATTTCACAATACAGTTGCCAGCTGCGTTAAGTCTGAAAGTATCCGTGAGTCCTATTGGCCTCGAAGTCCGGGGACCCCCCGAGATCCGCCTGGTCTGTGGCCCATGCTCTTAACTGAAGGAAGCGGGAGGCTTTAAGTACAAGTTAGTCAACCGAAGACGTCATCTTTTTCTCTCAAGGTCATGGAGCCCCTGAATTCTTCTCACAGACCTAGGGTCCCCCTTGAGGACCCACCCCTGACCTAGAGGAGGTGCAGAGAGGCAGGGGCCCAGGAGGGCCATCAGAGCCATCGGGAACCTGATAAAGGAGGAGTCAGAGGGGGGTGACAGAGAGGGGAGGAAAGCAGGGGAGGTGGGACCTCCAGTGGCCACGCTCCCCACTGGTCAAGAAACAGGACACGGAAGTGTCCCTTGAGTGAGGTGTCCAGGATGGCCACAGCAAGGTGAACGAAAGAGGGAGGAGCGTTCTCAGGACAGGAGAGCCATTTGTGGTGGGCGTGGGCACAGAGGAGTCACGGTCAGGTCGCTTCCTTGTTCTTCTTTGTTYGCGCAAAAGGCACCATAATGGCCGGGTGCGATGTCACACGTCTGTCATCCCAGCGGCTTGGGAGGCTGAGGCAGGAGGATGACAAGTTCAAAGCCAGCCTCAGCATAAGTGAGGAGCTAAGCAACTCAGTGAGACCCTGTCTCTAAATAAAATACAGAATAGGGCTGGGGAGGTGGCTCAGTGGTCAAGGGCCCCTGAATTCAATCCCTGGCACCCCAATATCCAACCCCCAAAAAGGGCACCATAATAATATATTAATTTTTAAGGGGAGGCTGGGTGTGGAGGAGAGAAAAGAGCTTGTTTAAGAGTTTGTGTGGAGGAGAGCAGAGCATGGCAGAGGCAGGGGGGCCGTGGGGTTCATTTTAGATACGAGCCACACAGGGATGGGCTGGGGCCAAAAGCCGATGGCCGAGAGAAGCTCCAGCCTGTCTGTCTGGCCCTCTGTCCGCTGCGATCTCCACCCTGAGGTTTCCCACAGTCACGTGACCTCAAGCATCAGGTTCAGTYGGGGGACCGCTGGGCCAACCGCGTGCCTGGCAGCGAGATTCCTCACGTGCGCCCAGGGGAGGCCGGGCCACCACACGTGGAGAACCACACTCCTGTGTGCACCAGCCCTGCCCTCGGGCACAGGGATCAGACAGTGGCACATATTCCTCCCAAAGTGCTGCGGGGCTAGGGGGGGATGGGAGGGGACGTGGAGGAGGAGGGGACCTGGAGGAGGAGGGGACCTGGAGGGAGCAGCCAGAGCCTGGCCCCCAGCCGAGACGGCCTCCTCTCCCCGCGGGGCACCAGTGTTCCCAGGGACCCTGGGAGCTGCCTCGCTGGACCTCTGGGAGCCAGAGGGTGAGAAAAGGAGCCAGGCACAGGGGCGGGGATGATGGCCAGAGGCCATGCTTRTGTGCAGCATGAGGAGGATGGACCGGCGCTGCCCGAGGCTCGGAGCCCCGGAACACACTGTCCACCTTTCTGACTCTGTCCTGGCCTCCCACCAGGCCGCTCCTCTGGCCCTCGGGAAAGTGCAGTCAGTTCTGTCAAAGAGGTGAAGCTGGCGAGGGCATCTCAGGACCCTCGGAGACCGCGGTCACCCTGTTTGGCAGACCGGAGGCCAGAGGTGGAGGCACAGCTGGCGAATGGAGCTGTGAGACTGTGCAAGGGCAGGRTGTGGCCCACCCCTGCTGGCCGGCCCTCCCCTGGGAAGCTGGGGAAAGGGCACGAGATGGGCGCTGCCCGCCGACCCTCGCAGCTCCCTGTCCATCATTGAGCATAGATGTGCTGCGGACCCACTGTGCAGCGAGCATCAGGCCAGACATGGAGATAAAGTGGTGACCAAGGCTGCGTCCCTCGCTTCATGAAGCTGACATTGGGCAAATGAGAGTTTAGAGTCAGGGAAGATAAGTGTTTGAAGAGACCTGAAATGATGTGGGGGAGTGAGCCACATGGACGGGGACAGATTGGGGGAGGTTCTAGAAGGAACACAGAGGGAACTGGTGCCAAGGCCCTGAGGTCGGCATATGCTTGCTGCATTGGAGGGATGTCATAGAGGCCAGGCATCTGGAGCAAAGGGAGGGAGGGAGGGGGAGAGGGAGAGAGGGGACCAGACTGGTTAGGAGGAAAATGCCGTCTTGATGAGGACTTTGGACTTCCCTCTATCAAGATAGGAACCCTGAGATGGTACTGAGCGCAGGAAGGGCGTGGCTTGACTTGGGTTGAACGGGATCCCTCTGGCTGCCCGGCAGAGGATGGACACGTATGTGATGAGACTAGAGGTGCAGGGGCCAGGAGGAAACTCCAGGGACAGTCACCTAGACTGTCAGCACAAGCTGAGCCCGTCATGGAGACTTGTGGGAGGGACAGGAGTCAGGACGCTCCCCCAGTCCTCCCCATGACCCCTGTCCATGGTCTCCCCGCAGCTAGAGAGGTACATCCAGATGAATCTGAGGTCAAAGCTGGCACGGGCCCAGCAGCACATGGTCCAGAACCAAACGGCCGCCATGTTGGAGCTGGGCTCGGACCTCCTGAACGAGTCGGCGGCCCGCACCTCCGACGTGGAAGCCAAGGTAACGGGCGGGTGGGGGAACAAGCCAGCCCGGGCCACCTGGTCCTGACCTCTGTCCCTGGGTGAGGTCAGTCTCCCCTGGGCCTCTAGCCCCTGGTATCTTCTCCCCAGTAAACCCTGTCCTAAAATTGTCACCCCCCAGGCCCAAAGGGGTGGGCAGACACTGGGCAGTGACAGGTCTGCACTGGGCCCTGGGGAGGGGTGGTGCAGCACAGCCCTGTCCTGGGGTTCACACAGGAGAGGAAGAGTCCCTGAGAGCTCGGTGACGAGGACCCTCTGCATGGCACAGCAGAAGAGAAGGATGGAGAGAGAGAGAGACAAAGGGTTGATGGAATGAGCAGCAGATGGGCACGTGTTGGCTGAGCCCCCACTGAACATCAGGCACCACTCAAGATGCCTGGCCCCAGTTTACAGCAGTGAGCAGAAGAGGCAGGCTTACTCACTGGGGAGAGTGTGCCAGACAGGGAGAACAGCATGTGCAAAGGCCCAGGGGTAGGACTGTGCTGGCAGCTCCAGGAACATCCAGGAACCCAGTGTGGTGGAATGACTGGGGGAGAGAGGCAGAGGAGGGGCAGAGACATGACAGAAGAAGATGAGTCATGTGGCCTGGGGCCTGGCCAGCTGGGCCAGGACCTGGCTTTTCTGCTTCCCAAGATGCGAGTCACAGAAGGCTTTGGAGTAGAGGCTGTATTTTGAAAGCCTGCATCAGGCTGCTCAGTAGGAAATAGAAGGGGACAGAGGTGGGACTGGGGAACCCTTTAAGGAGGCTAGCATGGGACACTGGACAAGAGACGATAGAGACGGAGGCCACAGCAGTTGGTGGAGGGACACCGTGGGGCTGTCAGCACTTGCTGGAGGACTGGCTGCGGGGGTCAAGGATACCTCTTCTGGGGCCTGAACAGCCAGAGGACAGTCCGCAGGGCCATGAGGCAGGGAGGTCACATGGCTGCAGGTGTGAGTGACCTGTGGGTGTCTGTGGGTCTGCAAGTTTCCCGAATGGCAGACCCAGGGCCTGCAGGTGGGGGCTGGGCAGGGCTCCCTAGGGCTCACCCAGCCCCATCCCGCCCGCTCCTCGCTGGGTCAGGTGCTGAACGAGACATCGCGCCTGGAGGTCCAGATGATGGAGACCTCGCTGTCCACCGAGGAGCTGGAGAAGCAGCTGCTGCAGCACAGCAACRAGCTGCACCGGCTGCAGGGCCGCAGCAGGTGGGCGCTGGGGACCAGGGGTGGGCGCAGAGTCAGGCTGGGTCAGGACCCACACGGAGCATGGAGCCCAGGCTAACTGGGAGGGAGGGCAGGGGCTGGGTCCTGGACAGGGCTGAGGCCCAGGGCTGGGTCCAGGTGGCCCCGGGCCAGACTCCCCTGTGTGGTGTGGGCAGACAAGAGGCGGTTCCGGGTTGGGTTGCCTGGATACATTTCCTCCTTTCTTCCCTTCAGTCTTTCATTGTCTTTCATTCTTCCCTTTCCCTGTCTTTGCTTTATAAATCTTAACTGCTTTATTGGGATGAAATCTACATGCTCTACAACCCACCTGGTGATTTTTAATCAGCTCGACCTCTGGGTTTTGCTGCTGTTTGTTTTGGTTCTGGAACTTGGGTCCAGGGGGGCTTTACCGCTGAGCTGCAGCTCCAGCCCTTTTGAGTTTTTATTTTGAGACCAGGTCTTGCCAAATTGTGGAGGCTGGCTTGGAACTTGCCATCCTCCAGCCTCAGCCTCCCAGATGGCTCGAATTACAGATGTGCACCCCCCCCCCCAGATCTGGCTTCACTTATTTGTAAATAAATACACCTAATTCCATCCACCTGATCACCTTCCCTGAAGAGACCAGTGAGCAATTTCTTGTCTGCAATATCAGAGAGTTCTTGCATTATATGCAAATAAATTACCAAGGTAAAAATAGACACAGGTTATAGATAAAGCAGAGAGCTCTGACTTCTGAGGCCTGATTTTATCTTGGTTTCGAGTTCAGTGGAGGAAGAACTGCCAAGGTCAGAGTTCTGGGAGGGAGAATCTACTTACTGAACAAGGCACTGACCGCTCTGCGGGGCCAGATGTTGGCGAGTGCTGGCCAGGACACATCACATCACAAGATCCTCCACCCCCTCTGATCTGGGTACAGTTAAGGGCGGTTCTTATTGCTATTCCCCCACCCACCCCAAGGTCTAGGTGGCGAGAACCGGGACATTTTCAGTTACTCTGGACTCGTTATCAGGTGCCTGAGAATCAGTGCAGACAGAGAATGTTATCGATGAGCCTTGATCCACAAAGACAGCGAGAATCCTAGAGCTTCAGCACCCAAATTCTCACTTCCCGCAGCATAATTTGGAGCCTGAGGAAATTCCTTCTGCCCTGGTTGAACTTATTTCTGTCTGGAGAATGGATCAGGACAACTGGATATAGAGTCAAATGTCCCCTCCCTCAGCCACAAACCCACTAAAGCCAGTGACCACCCGCCTATCCCTCATTTCTTATAAGTCCTCCCTTGCATTTGGTCAACAAGTGTTTTTTGTTGTTGTTGTTGTTGTTGTTGTTTTGTTTTATTTTTAATTTTTATTTTTTTTTGTACCAAGGATTGAACTCAGGGGCACTTGACCACTGAGCCCCATCCCCAGYCCTATTTTGTATTTTATTTAGAGTCAGGGTCTCACTGAGTTGCTTAGCGTCTTGCTTTTGCTGAGGCTGGCTTTGAACTCACGATCCTCCTGCCTCAGCCTCAGAGCCGCAGGGAGTATCAACAATTACTTTTTCAGCCCGCCTTGTGCAGGCATGTAGGACCCTGGGGATTCATAAATGAAGGAGTCTCTGTCCTGGTGGAGTGGCTATTCCAGGGCTTCTTATGAATATGCAAATGTGCACAAGCCTTCCCCCACCCCACCCCGGTTTTTAAGCCCCACTAGAGCACACCCCACCTCCCACCCTATTTTTTCCCCAGTTCCTTGGAAATGGCTCTACAACTGCATGACATGCTTGCAGGTTCTTTTCTCCAACTTCCCATTATTCCAAAGTATCTATTCCCCCCACTCCCCAATTAATGGACACTGAGATTGTTTCTGTTTCCAGTCTGCTGATCCAACGGTGATAGGGTGACTAACACTTCCATATCTCATTTTACTCAGATGGGAGTAAATCTGGAGGATGAAATGCCAAAAGGGGAGGAGCTGAGTTGAAAGCTTTCTTTAAAAAAAAAAAAAAGCCTCTTTGTTTTTTAACCCATAACTTTGTGCCTTGTTGTAATAACGGAGACCTGTATAACATAAAAGTAAAGGGCTGGGGTTGTGGCTGAGCCGTGGGTGCAGCCCTTTCCTAGCATGCAAGAGGTCAGGGGTTTGATCCCCAGCACCACTCAAAGAATAATAATAAAAATAAAGATGAAAGTCAGCCCTGCCCACCCTGCAGAAATCAGCAGGGTGGGGACGTTCTTTCCCATTCTCTCCAAACTCGGGTGTCCCCCAGGGTCTTTCCACTCTTCCCCCATATTGTTCACCCTATCTCTCTACATTTCCATGAATACCTTTGATCTTTCTTATGTCATCCAACACGTGGTTAGAACTAGAGGCATTGGCTGGGCGCAGTGATACACACACCTGTAATCCCCCAGACTCAGGAGGCTGAGGCAGGAGGATCGCGATTTCAAAGCCAGCCAGTCTCCTCAACTTAGCGAGGCCCTAAGCCACTTCTTTTCTCTTTTACTAGCAATCTCCCAAGGCATCCTGGCCCATGCTCCCTGGAGGCTATCTCCTGAGACTGGACTGTGGAGTCAGAGGACGAGCATATTTGGGATTTAATAATGACTGTCTGGTTGCTGCTGTGTCCCCCCCGCACCACCATCTCTTTCCTTTTCTGGATCCCAAACCATACTACTCCGGGGCCGGGTCTCTCCTTCCTCCCTTCCTCGGTCTGGGCTACGTGGGCACGGACTGCGGGGCGGTGTAACCCAGAACCGGACGCTCCTTCTCTGAGCCTCCCCGCAAGCCTTCTGTGCGTGCTCTGCGGGCGGCGGGCTCACCCCGTGCGCCCCGCTCCGCAGCGCGCTGGAGACGCGGTTGCAGGCCCTGGAGACGCAGCAGCAGGAGGACCTGGCCAGCCTCCGCGAGGAGGAGGAGCAGCTGCGGCGCCTGCTGGGCAACCACAGCGGCGCCCTGGCTGTCCTGGAGCGCAGTCTGCGCCTCGCCAGCAGCAACTCGAGCCTTCTGCAGATGCAGCAGCGCCAACTGCTGGAGTCGGTGCAGCGCCTGGTGCACGTGATGGCGCAGGGCCCCGGCGGGAGCGCGGCAGGTGAGCGCGCGGTGAGTGGGTGGGGCGCCCGGCGGGGAGAGGAGCGCGGGAGGAGGCTGGCACACATCAGGGGTACGGCCCACCCACCCCGACTGTAAAATAGAAAGAACAACAGCGGGGAAAATAACAGCAACAGCAATCCTAAAAGAAGCAGTGGAAACTCTGCCCGAGTTAGGTGACCCTGGTTAGGCCCCGCCCCCACTCTCGGCCTCAGTTTCCCCATCTGTTTATGGAGTGATGACCATAACCAGGGCGTCATAGTCCAGACTGCAAGTTTGGTTCCAGGATTCACCCTCCACCCCTCTTGCCTGGGCCTGCCCTGCCCTGGGCCTCGGTCTCCCTATGGAACGGAGTGGGGAGGTCGGATGTAAAGCACCCCAAGGATTTTTTTCCCCACTAACACCCCTGCCTCTGGCCAACAAGGCCACACCAAGACGAGGAGGRGTGGATTTGGAGACCTAGTCACCTCGATTGTGATATGGGAACAACAGAGTCCTTCGGACAGGTGTCCCAGAGCCAGGATTTGGGAAGATTTGTTCATGTGTGAAGTCCCAGCCCCTGGTAGCCTTCTGGTTCTCATTGGTGTTGAACACCTCTCTCTGGTACTTCAGCCCCATCCTTAGGTGCCTGCCTCCACAGAGAGATCCGGTTCTGGTAGAATCACAGCCCAAACCTCTAATTGGGTCCTACTAACTGAACCAGAGAGAGGATTTAAAATCTCTGCATTTTAGCCAGGCATGGTGGTGCAGGCCTGTAATCCCAGCTACTGGGGGTGCTGAGGCAGGAGGATGGCGACCAGGTTGGAGGCCAGCCTTGGTGACTTAGTAAGACCCTGTCTCAAGTTTTGGGATGTGGCCCCATGGTGGAGCACTGGCACGGCATGCACGAGGCCCTGGGTTCSACCCCTAATACCATGAAAAGAAAGAAGAATTTTTTAAAGGCATAAGTCTCTGTATTTTATTCATAGTTTATTTTTCAGGCCAGACTTGGAGGCCCAAGGACTCTGGTGGTTTCAGTCATTAAATTAATGCTCTGTGAYCCCAGAAAAAGAGTCCAGAGGGAGGAGGGCCTTGATGGCCAGTGGTCAGCTCCAGAGAAGACTGAATGTGGAGCCGCAGAGAGACCAGCTGAAAGGGAGGGCTGGGGAGAGAGCCAGGCCTCCTGCTCAGTGGAGCTCCAAGAAGGGAGGGCTCTGTCCCGTCCCCCCTCCCCCATGTCCTTGGGCCAGTCACCTCACCCTGGACCCCACCCTGCTCTGAAGGGAAGCAAACTGGGAAGTACCTCCCTAGGGGCAGGTGCCCATTTCCCTCTCCCCAAAAGCACAGCAGCCTCCCCTGGAGGCTCCCCTCTCAGAGGCTCAGCCTCCAGCCCTGCTCCACTCTGACCCCGGGGCTCCTCCTCAGCCCAGGGGTCGGGGCTGCTCAGCCTGGCGCTCTAGGCCAGCTGGCCCCACGGAGACTCATCTCCTTTCTGCCCTCTCCGCTCCTCCCCCTCGCGGTCCAGCCTCCCCCTCCTCACACAGCCCAGCTCTGATCTTGGGGCATGAGTCACTGTCCTTCCCTGGCCTTGGCCCCAGGCCCCCTGTCCTCATCCCGTGTGTCCCCCGCACACACCAGGACTGTTCCCACCTGGGGGCCTCTGCCCCCGCGGTTCCCTCTTCCTGGAACACCTCCCTTCTCTGCCTGGACCCCTGTCACTGTCCCAGCTCCCCATCGCCTCCGCCCTCCTCCCCTCAGAGCCTGCMCAGAGCGGGCAGGGTGTCCCCGCCTGTCCTTGCTCACCTCTGGCTGACTTTTGCTTTGTCCCCGGGTAGCCCCCATGAGGGCCCCTGAGCAGGTGTTCCAGGACTGCGCTGAGATCCACCGCTCCGGAGCCACCGCCGACGGCGTCTACACCATCCGTGTGGCCAACGACTCGGAGCCCAAGAAGGTGGGTGCCTGGGGAGCGGAGGGCGCCGAGTGGGGCTCCCCAGGCAGACCCCAGCAGCTGCGGGCTTTTCAACCATCCAAGATGCCAGTGGAGGTGGGGGTGCCCGACCTTTGGGGGGCCCCCAGTCAGGGGTCCGATCAGGAGGTGAAGGAAAAGTTCCCAGAGCACCTCCTGCAGGAAATGGTTGCGTGGGGAAGGGAGGTGCCGCAGGTGGAACCGGAAATGCCAGGGCTTAGCACCTCCAGCTCACAGGGGCCCACTGAAGGCAGGAGCTGGGCTCCGCTCCCCTGGGAAGTTGGCACCGGGGGCTCGTTTCAATGAGGGGCTCCCAAGGTGCCCTGAGCTTTCAGCCCAGTCGCCAGGTGGGAAGGGGTGGGAGGAGAACAGGGGGTCAGGAGGCAGGGCTCCGGGCAGCCCAGAAGGAGGAGGGCATGGGAGCAGGTGGCCATGTCCTGCTCCGTGATCCTTTCAGCCCCCAGAGYATGTGAGGGACAGTGGCTCAGATCGTCTGCAAACCGTCTTCAKCACCTTCTCACACACCTGCTCACCAAAGAGAGCAAGCCCAGGGCCCTGTGTGGGCACAGACTCCAGCTAGAACCCCACGACATTATTTCTTTCAGGAGATTTGTGGATTAGTACCAGGGATTGACCCAGAGGCTCGTGACCACTGAGCCACATCCCCAGGGAGAYAGGGTCTCACGGACTTGCTTAGGGCTCACTAAGCTGCTGAGGCTGGCTTTGAACTTGCAATCCTCCTGCCTCAGCCTCCAAGTCACTGGCATTACAGGCATGGGCCGCCGTGTCCAGTTTATTAGATTTGTTTTTTAAATCATCTGAATAGAGGCAAGTGTTACTAGTTTTCTATCTATGGTACTGGTAAGATTTCCTTTTAAAATATTTTTAACCTAAGCATTTATTTAAATTTTTTAAAAAAAGGATTCCATTTTTTAAAGTAAATATACTGTGTGAAAGTAAGTAAATTCCCCAGTGTGGCATTGAGAAGGCTGGATGACGGAGACCAGGACGGTAATAGGGAGAAGCTTGTCTGGGAGATGAGACACCAGGCTCACACCTCAGCTTTCCTTTTTTGGGGGGGCAGGTACTGGGGATTGAACTGAGGGGCACTTGATGACTGAGCCACATCCCCAGCCCTGTTTTGATTTTATTTAGAGACAGGATCTCAACAATTTACTTAGGGCCTCACTAAAGTGCTGAGGCTAGCTTTGAACTCCAGATCCTCCTGCCTCGGCCTCCTGAGCCACTGGGATTACAGGCGTGGGCCTCCACACCCAGATTCAGCTTTACTCTTGACTCACTTGCCAGAAGCAACTGCTTCCCCTCTCTGAGCCTCCGAGTCCCTTCCTGTACCCACTGCTACCCCCAGAACAGGTGCGACAACTTCTCTTGGGCTGTTCCCATCTTGCAGTCTCTACTCCTGTTTCATTTTTCCCTGAAAACACCATCCACCTGTCACTCTCTGGGAGTCTCATCATCATTCAATGCTGTGTTCTGACACCACCTCCAGGGAGCCTTCCAAGATTGCTGAGTGACTCCTTCTGGAGTCACTTCTTGGGACCTCCTCCAAGAAGGAGGACCTACCTTCAATTCTAAGTTGCCCAGATGTTCACAGTCAGTAGTCTGTCTGGGCTACTGTACCCTCCTCCACACTGAGCCAGCCCTGAYGGCTGATTGACCTCTGATGCACTGATGACTTATCCAGTCCAGACACGTATTCGTTGAACATGGAACCGGCACAGAACTGGCTGGAAAAGTCATCTGTCCACTGAGGCCGGCCGGGAAGGCCTAGCTGGGGTAGACGGCCAGCTCAGAGGGAGGATTCTTTTGATCTTATCTGTATCGGCATCCCCAGTGCCTCGCACCAGAAGGTGCTCAGAAAACCTCTGCCCGCTGCGTGACGGTAGGACTTGCATCTCGAGTCCACACYAGGGACTTCACCTGCGGCCTTAGTCCTCGCAGCAGCCCCGCCACAATGACAGTCCCAGTCAGTCCTCGTGTCCCCAGCACATCGCAGACTCGACCCCTCTCATTCTCGCCTTCACACCAGTGTGCCCAGGAGGCAGGGGACCACACAGTGAAGGTGTCAACGCCCACCTTTCACAACAAGGAGAGAGGGGTTCTGAGGCCTCCCCTACCTGTCAGTCACTGTAGAAAATGGTGACAGCCCATGGGCATGGCAGCCTGGATCTGGCRGGTGCCCTTGACCACCTGGTTTGCTCTGGACTTGGAGGGGCCTCAGGCTGCCCCCGTGGGATTCCAGCTGCTCCCCTGTCCCCCAGGTGTTCTGTGGCATGGAGTCCAACGGAGGCGGGTGGACCCTCATCCAGCGCCGTGTGGATGGCAGCGAGGATTTCCAGCGGAGCTGGAAGGAGTACAAAGAGGTGACACTGCCACCCTGGGGAGGGGCTCTGCAGCCMGTGGGGCTGATGCAGGCTCGGGGTTGTGGCCGGGGACTGGTGTGCCTTCGCCCCTTCCCAGGAAAAAGAAAATCCGCTCTTCTAGAGCCAAACAGATTTCCCAGTGCATATTCACTTTCTGGGACCCCATTCCCTGGAATTGAACCGGCTTTTTGAAATTTCTGATATACGTCCTAAGATCGAAAATTTAACTTTATTTTGTTTCAACTTTTAGGAAAGGTAATATAGGTGCATGGCTTAAAAAATTGTTCCCATGTAAAATGGAGGAGACAAAAGAAAATCTCCCCACCCACCTGGTATACTGCTTAATCAAATGTCCTTGTCTTTTTACGCACCGATGGCCACATCTTAAAGACCAGTTCTTTAATGTGCACTGCTGGCTCGAAGGCCACCACATGCAGTGTACAAGATGAGGAGTGGTGTCTGCTAGTCTTTCCGTTTTTTTGTTTGTTTTTTTTTTTTTAATTGAATTTTGAGTAAAGGATTTGGGGCAAGCTGACTTAAAAACCCTTGAAAGTTTTCAAAAGTAAAATATTATTTGCTTGCAGTTCATTGGATAAATACTTAAAATAAATACATTGGATATAAATTCATGAATGTTCTTGTATCTATTGATATTTTTAAAAATGTCTTTATAAAATGCTAAAAATGCAGGGCCGGGGCTGTGGCTCAGAGCTAGAGCACTCGCCTAGCATGTGTGAGGCACCGGGTTCGATCCTCAGCACCACATAAAAGTAGATAAACAAAAAAGGTGTTGTGTCCATCTACAACCAAACAACAAAAAAAAATTTTTAAATGCCAAAGATGCAGAAACACGCGCAGGAGTGCTGGGTACTGACCCTTTGCGGCTTGATTCCAGCGGGGGGCGGGGCTTAGGTGTGCCCCTGTCCTTGGTGCTGAATTGTCTTTCTGCCAATGCGTTGGTTGTTGTCACGCGGGACAGGACACTCCTTGCGCTCTTAGCTTTACATTTCTGCCTTGCAGAGTGGCWCTGTCAGTGAACAGAGTTTGTTCTGCCATCTAGGTAGCAGATGAAGTTTTAATTTTTTTTAACCGAGGTCTGATATCCGTGCAGCCAAGTGCACAGGTTTAATAAGTAATTAAGTGTACACCTCGATTAACTTTCACACATGTATTCAACCATCTGACCCCCATTCAGAGCTAGACAGACAACCCTGCCAGCACCCAGAAACCCCCTTGTGCCCCCTTCCAGTCAATATTTCCCCAAAGGCAATCACTATTCTGTTGTGATTATTATTTTTGTCTGCTCTTGAACTTCAAAGAAATGTGATCTCAATTTTTTGGGGGTGGGGGGGGTGGGTGGTCCTAGGATTGAACCCAGGAGCACTCAACCACTGAGCCACATCCTCAGCCCTTTTTGTATGTTATTAGACTCAGGGTCTTGCCAAGTTGCTTAAGGCCTCACTAAGTTGCTGAGGCGGCTTTGAACTCATGACCCTCCTGCCTCAGCCTCCTGAGCTGCTTGGATGACAGGCCTGTGCCACCGTGCCCAGCTCTCAATTATTTTGAATGAGCTTTTACATTGACAAGTGACTGAGTCTTCTTCCTCGGGGATATGGAGGCTGCCCACTCCTAGGCCCAGTTCACAAGGGGTCAGTGAACTTGACCCCCTGGCACAGTGGTCTTGGATAAGGGGCTGCAGAGCCTGGCCTAGCCCAGCTCCTCAGCCAGGGGTGTGTCCCTTCCTCCCCGTAGGGTTTCGGAAACCCAGCRGGGGAATACTGGCTGGGCAATGAGGCCATCCACCAGCTCACCAGCAGGGCCACCTACTCTCTGCGCGTGGAGCTGGAGGACTGGGAAGACCAAGAGGCCTACGCCCAGTACGAGCGATTCCAGCTGGGCAGCGAGGCCCAGTTGTACAGGTAGGTGGGCTGGGGCCCGGCCCTGCAGGTGGGCTGGGGGTGCTGGGCGACTGGCCGCAGGGTCCGAACCAGGGGTCAGTCCCTGGCCATCTTCCCGTTCTCACCATCTGTCCCCCATTTGAGGGCACGTCACGGGATTTGGAGGCGGTTGGTTAGCACTCAGCAGTCCTGGCCACAGGGTGGGGTGGAAAAAATGTCACTGACGCCATCTCAGGCGCAGGAAGGGGCCTTCCAAGGTCACTCACCCCAAGTCACTCATTTTACAAAGACTCAGCAGGAGGGACTTGGCCAGTCTGTCCTCTGCCCCGGAGTGAGGTAGAAAGGTCCCTGTGCTGGGAGGTGGGGACACGGGCCCTGTCTGGCCCTGCTGCTCGGGGACTTGGACAAGTCCAGGCCGGGTTTCYCTGAGCCTCTGCYTCTTCAGTGGGCTGGGATGTGAGGATGTTGCGAAACCAGAAGAGGTTTCCGAACCCCTTCCTCGAACTTGTTCCTGGTGTGTGTAAGAAAAGGAAGGGACATTTTTTGGGCACCTACTGTGCTCCATGCACTCTATCAGATCAGCCTYGAACCCTTGGAGGTAGAGTACCTGCTTTAGTAGTATGGAAACTGGGGCGCTCAGGTCCCCTGCCCCAAATGACAAGCTACATAGAGCCTGGATAGGACGCGGGCCTCCCTGCTGCCAAACCACACCATAGTAAGGCCCCATCATAGGATAAGTGTTATGTAGAAGGTGGAGACATACAAACAACATATTCAAAGACAGAAGCATGACGTCTCCAGAGCTCCATCTGTGCTTCTGTCCACCATTCCAGCATAAGTGTGGGTCTGGACCCCGCCGTGCTCTCCTGTTGGAATTGGATGAGCTCCTCTGGCTTTTCATCTGGCCACGGAGCTCCCTGCCCACAGCTTCAGACTGTGAGGCTCAAGGCTACAAAGAACCCACACTTACTGACCCTCTGCAGAACCTGAATGACAGGACCATACGTAGGCCGGCACTGCTCATTTGGGAAGCACCCCCTCAAAGTGCTCCCAGTCCTGTGTGGGGTGTGGGCATGTTCACAGGCCACCCACGCCCCTGGGGAGACAGCAGCTGCTAAAGGGGGCGTGGAGGTGTCGTGCCGTCAGGGAGGACCCCAGGAGAAGGTGATGCCTGCAGTGCGTGCGTACTCTCCAGAGTGGGTTAGAAGAGCGCCCAGGCAGCAGGAATGTTCTGAGAAAAGGCAGAGTTGGCATGCAGCTGGGTCACACATGCCTGGAACCTGCCAGGGCAGCTGGGAGCTCACGGGCTCATTCAGGAAGAGTCCAGGAGACTGGRGTTGGGGATGCAGGAAACCAAAGGGTGGCCTGGAAACCGCCAGAAGAGGGTGGGAGGGGGAGGAGGGCAGATGCCCACCCTCCAGGGTCAAGGGGATGCTGAGGAGGAGAGGTCCCCACAAGGAAGCCCAGAGGCAAGGGTGCTCAGGTGGCCGGTCAACAATGGGGAGTGGGCGCCAGGGTGACAAGGGCACTCTCTTCTGCCAGATGCAGTATGGGGTCCTYGTGAAGCCCAGCTGGGGTGCTGAGCATGGAGGGTGCATGCAGAGGAAGCAACCCCCAGGAGGGCTGGGGGCACAACCAAGGCACAGCTTAGCATGGGGCAAGGCGGGAGGGACAGACACCAGAGGCGCACACAGGCCCAGACCCACATACAAGTGCAGGAAACACACACAACCGCCCAGGTGCCGTGGAGGGGCTCACCCCAGCCCTGCAGGACACACACGGGCCTACAGAGCACACGCGCGCACGCACACGTGCATAGCTGCACAAACACACACACCCCAAGCACAGGCACACAGTGGGACATGTGCCAATGGGCCTCCCAAAAGCCCTCGCAGGGAAACACACACACACAGTCCCCGGTGGACACAGGGACAGAATCCAGAGCGCACATGCGGGCCCAGGCCAGAGGCTCTGACACAAGCACCAGCAACACGCCCATGAAGAGAGGCTGGAGGAACCAGATCCAGATCCAGATCCAACGACAGACGCTCAGGGCTGCACAGATCCCTGGGCCTGGGGAACACCTCGTGGGATCCCCAAGAGACCTGCATATTGAGGTTTCCTTGGGCCTGAGCCAGGAGGCTTCATTCMGGCTTCCAGAAGAGAGGGGCTCACATCCCTGAGCCCTCGGGGAGCCCCTGATGACCACAAGGAGAAGCCAGAACCACAGGAGTGGGGGACAGCCTGTGAGTCCCCACCCAGGGACCCCCTAGTGGGAGGCCTCTTGGCTGCACCAGCCCCACCAGCCCAGGGCGCCATGTTCAAGGGTGTGGTGAGGGCGTCATGGTGCACAGCCATCTGGACGCTGAGCACTGAGCCAGCCACAGGCCCAGGCCCCTCGTTCCCTCGGGTCCCATGGGGACCTCTCCCAGGTCCTCCCCCGGGGAGCCAGAGCTTCCTTAAGCCACCCCAGCCACTTGCCACCACCTATAGGAACTTCTGAGTTGCTCCCAGCCCAGCTCCTCCCCTTTCGGTGCCAAGCCTCTGACATTCTCCAGCCAGGCTCAGGATGTGCCAGGGGACCCACAATGACAAGCAYCAAGCGTGTGGAGCACACACCACATGCTGGCGTTGCCCTGCACGCTACCCACACGCGGACCTCCACGGAGTCTGGCAAAGACGTACAAACCCGCCCACCCCTCTGGCTGCAGAGGTCGAAGTCACAGGGCTGGGGGCGCCCTGGGCACAGATCCATGGGTGCTGGTGTGGGCAGGGAGGACTTCCTGGAAGAGGTGGCTGCACCTGGCACCAGCCCTTGTTGATTTTAGACCTGGGCAGGAAACTGGCTCCCAGGACCCCCACTCCTGGTGTGTGAAAGGGTATCCTGAAGTTCGAATGAGAACAAGTTATCCAGACAAGTGCTTTGAACAGTGCCTGGCACATAGTAGGTGCTGGAGAAAACGTCAGCCATTATCCTTGTTCTGATGCCCCTTGCTCCTCTCCAAGACCAGGTTCAGTGAGAGGAGGAGGTCCTGCATGCAGAAGCCACTTTGTCCCCAGAGGCAGCAGGCAGGGAGGGTGGTTAAGAGGGAGGGTGGCCAGCGATCAGAGACCCAGCCTTGGACCAAGTCCCCAGGGAGGCCCCACCTAACTCTGGCCCTTCTCCAACACCACCTCGGTGGCTCCAGGATTTCTCTGTCTGGGTACAATGACTCCGTGGGGCGCCAGACCGGCCTGTTCTTTCGGAGCGCCAACTTCAGCACCCGCGACGCAGACAACGATAACTGTGTCTGCGAGTGCGCCCAGCTCATGTCGGGAGGTGAGCGCACCCACCCACCAGGCTCAGCCAGCACCTCCCCAGCCGGGCACCTCCTCCGAAGCCTGGCACCACCAGCGTTCCACAGAGGCCTGCTGGAGGAATGCACAGTGCAGGGGCAGCCCCAACCCTGGCCTCAGCACTCCCCTCCCCCAGGCAGGCAGGAGAGGACCAGGGAGACTGGGGCAGCTCCCCATCAGCCCCCACTCGGGCAGGGCTCCTTGGCAGGGACAGAAGTCAAAGAGCGGGAACAGGATGGGCCAGAGACAGGGAGCCGGGCACAGAGGCTCACACCTGTCATCCCAGCAGCTTGGGAGGCTGAGGCAGGAGGATGGCAAGTTCAAGGCCAGCCTCAGCACCTTTGTGAGGCCCTAAGTAACTTGTTGGGAACCTGTCTCCAAATAAAATAAAATGGGCTGGGGTGCGTCTCAGTGGGTAAGCACCCCTGGGTTCAATCCTTGATAGGAAGGAAAAAAAAATAGGAGAAACAGAATGGGAAGGCCTTACAGAGACCTAAATCCCAGAGACAGGGACAGAGAGAGACACCGAGACTGATAGAAAGAGGAGGGTGGGGACAGAGAAGCCAGAAGGAGAAATGGGAAGAGAAACCCAGGAGTGAGGGAAGGGGGCAGCARGGACCAGAATCAGAACCTAGCAGAGAAAGATGGCCAGCCGGAGAGAGTCACCGGGGAGAGGGGACAGGCCCTGTGTGCGAAAGGCTCAGAAAGAGACGGAGACCCCTGGAAACGGATGGGAAAGAGAGGAGTCGCTAGGAGTCCAGAGGATGGAAGGTCGGAGCCGCGGATGGGACTCAGCGGGAGAAGGGGGAGCACAGCGGGGCGGAGTGGGGCCCCACTGCCCTCCAGAGGCCGCAGCTGCGCAGAGCCCCGCCCCTGCCCATCGCAGCTCCCCGCCAGGAGCAGCCTGATCCATCTTTGTTCTTTTGGGGGGGCGGGGTCTGCCCTCACCCCACCGGCAGGACCCCACTCCCCAAAGCTCTGATCCCCTCTTCCTCCAGGGTGGTGGTTTGACGCCTGCGGCCTCTCGAACCTCAACGGCGTCTACTACCGGCACGGCCAGCACCTGCGCAGGATGGACGGCGTCCGCTGGCAGTACTTCCGCGGCCCCGGCTACTCGCTGCGGGCCACCCGCATGATGATCCGACCCGTGGGCGGCTAGAGAGCGGCTGCGCCCMGAGGGACCACACGGGAGCCCCGAGGCGGATCCCCGGACAGCCTGGRCCGCGTGGGACACAGGGCCCGGGCTCTCACCCCACATCCCGGACCACCCGCGCCCGGGTCACCTCCCGGAGTCGCTGCGTCCTGACTCCCTTCGATCTGTGACAAGGGGGATGGGGGTCCTCACTCTGCTGGGCCTGTTCCTCATCCCCCTCCCCGCCTCCCGCAGGGACTCCTGGCCACTCAGGGGTGGTGGCCTCCCGAATGAGTAAAGGACAGAATAAACTTGGCTTCTCAAAGGAAGACCCAGCTAATGGGACTGGTGGCAGCCGGGGAAGGAATTTTCCGGGAACTGTCTGGCTTCTGTGCCCTGGGTTGGCAGGGGCATCTCCTGCTCCAGCTCCTGTCCCCAGCTCGCCTGGCCTTGACATCTCCTCGGGCTTTACTTTCAAAGCTGAAGGGGGGCTGCCCCTGCCCCTGATGCTCATTATTTTGTCCCCACYGGTCATTGCTCCTAGGAGCCAATGTCTG